GGGGGGGGGGGGGGGCTGCAGCATCTGCTGCTGCTGCAGCTGCGTATATATGCAGAGAAAAATATAATTATTTATTTTAATATAAATATAAAATAAAAGGATAACGAAAGAGGCAAAACAAGTGGTGAAACTCCTCTCGATTCAGCAGCAGCAGCAGCAGCAGCAGCAGCAGCAGCGGCAGCAGCAGCAGCAGCAGCAGCAGCTGTGCCTTCCGCTGCAGGAGTAAACGCCCTTCTTTTCTTTGAAATGAATATAAAATTAAATTATATTTTTATTTATTTTATTTAATTTATTTATTTTGCTTCTATTTTAGTTTACTTCTGCTGCTGCTGCAGCAGCCTCAAGCATCGGTGGGGCCCCAGCGCAGCCGCTGGGTCGCCAGCAGCAGCAGCAGCAGCAGCAGCAGCAGCAGCAGCGGCAGCAGCAGCAGCAGCAGCAGCAGCAGCAGATGTTATGTTTGAGTTTGCATTTTAATTATTTTAATTTGTCCCCAGTGTCTTATTGATATTCTGCTGCTCCTAAAACCCTAAACCCTAAACCCTAAACCCTAAACCCTAAACCCTAAACCCTAAACCCCCCGGTCACCGGGTGTCTACAGCGACAGCGAAAGTAGTATATATAAATTTATTTACTATTTATTTATTATTTATTATTTATTTATTATTTTTTATTATTAATTTATTATTTATTATTTATTTTATGTTATATATAAACATATTGCTCCGCGGGGTATACTACTAAACCTATAGCTAGCTAGCTAGCTGCTGCTCTTCATAGTTAACGATAGCTAGCTGGGTAGCTAGCTGGATAGCTAGCTGGATGGCTAGCTGGGCTTAGCCGCAGCTAGCTGTGGGCCTTGGCTGCTGGGTGCAGGTACCTGCAGCGCTTTCTGCGGAGCAGCCATGGCTAGCTGTGGCTAGCTGTGGCTAGCCGTTGCTAGCTGTGGCTAGCTGTGGCTATCTATGGCTAGACGTTGCTAGCTATGGCTAGCTGTGGCTAGCTGTGGCTAGCTGTGGCTAGCTATGGCTAGCTGTGGCCAGCTGCGGCTAGCTGCGGCTAGCGATGGCTAGCTGTGGCTATCTATAGCTAGCTATGGCTAGCTGCGGCTAGCTGCAGCTAGCTGCGGGGAGCCGCAGCGACAGGAGGCTTGCTGAGGCGGGCTGTGGCTAGCTGGGGCTAACTGCAGCTAGCTGTGGCTAGCTATGGCTAGCTGTGGCTAGCTACGAGCAGCGGTGGCTAGCTGCTGCTAGCTGCGGCTAGCTGCAACGATTTTTTTTTTTTGTTTTGTTGTTTGTTTGTTTTTTCTTTATTTGTTTGTTTTTTTTGATTTTTTGTTTTTTTTTTGTTTTTTGTTTTTTTTTGTTTTTGTTGCACCCGCAAACAAAAACAAAAAAAACAAAAAAAAAAACAAAAAAAAACAAACAAATAAAAAACAAACAACAAAGGAGATAAAGAAAAAAACAGAAAGACAAAGACAAAGACAAAGACAAAGACAAAGACAAAGACAAAGACAGAGATAGAGATAAATATAAATAAATAAAGAATAATATAAATATAATAAAGTAAAGACAAAGACAAAGACAGAAAAATAAAGACAAAGACAAAGACAAATATAAATAAATAAAGACAAAGACAAAGACAAATATAAATAAATAAAGAAAAAGACAAAGACAGCAACACAACTATCCTTTTTCGTGTATTTGTTTTTTTGTTTGTTTTTCTTTGTCTATCTCACCTATATCCTTAAAGAACTCAATTAACTTAGAGTAAGAAGTGGCGCAGCCAACAGAAGGAATTGCTGCTGCTGCTGCTGCTGCTGCTGCTGCTGCTGGTGGTGCTGGTGTTGCTGCTGCTGTTGTTGCAGGAGTAGAAGCTGCTGCAGTTTCTGCTGCTGCTGTTGCTGCTGCTGCTGTTGCTGCTGCTGCTGCTGCTGGTGCATGCAATAGACGATTTGGCCTCCACACAGAGCTGCC